CTGACTGACAGTCCCACTTGCTAGCTTCACCCAGGGCTGCCTATGCTGGGGAGCTCCCGAAGTTCTCTGCCATGTACTCTGGAAAAATAATGCTGTCTCAGGTTCCTAAAGACATCGATATGACATTTTATGGTTTTGGTAATTTTCCCACAGTAAACAGTTCACAGTTTTGTATTGCCTACTTGTTGTCCACATATATATGTGTATTACCTACTTGTTGTCCCCATATATATATATATATATATATATATATATATATATATATATGGGGACAACAAGTAGGCAATACAAAACTGTGAACTGTTTACTGTGGGAAAATTACCAAAACCATAAAATGTCATATCGATGTCTTTAGGAACCTGAGACAGCATTATTTTTCCAGAGTACACGGCAGAGAACTTCGGGAGCTCTCCCAGCATGGGCAGCCCTGGGTGAAGCTAGCAAGTGGGACTATATATATATGTGTGTGTGTGTGTATATATATATTTATTTATTATATATCCATAATAAGCAAACATAATATAACATTTAAGGACTGACAAAATCTTTTTTTGGCAAAATAACATATATATATATATATATATATATATATATATATATATATATATATACATATTTGTGGTCAGGGAAGAAGGCCGTATTTATGAGGACCTAAACCTCTAAACAACAGTAAAATATACTAAGTCGGTTGTGGTGTGCCGAAACCGACGTACGGGTTGGCCTGTAAATAAAGAGGGCAAAAGAGAAATATCATTCCACACTTTAATACGTATACACACACATTATTATCCGAACTTTTATTTAGCCAATTGTTTAAAAGCTTGCCTCAACTCTTTCTCAGGTTGAGGTATGTAATGATGGTATGCCGAAGATTTCCAACGGCCTAGTTTTTAATGATATGAACTGGTATGTTTTGGCTGGAGGCTGATGTTGCAGCCCCGATGCGAAAGGAGTGGCCTGTATATGCCGTGGGATCGTACCCGATTCTTGTGAATAGTAATCTCACGTATTTGATGAATTTCGAGGTAGTCAGGGGTTGACTGTGTATTGTGAGAAGAGGAGCTTGTTTGGGTTGATTAGCCATACCGGCCATGTATTTGTCGAATAGTTGTACGGGGCACCAATGATTGCCGGTCGGGTAAAATTGAATGTCGAGTGGCGGACCCATTTGATTAGTTTTTGAATGTCTTACTGACAAGGTGTAGTGATCACCTATTTTGTTTAAGTTTGATACACACAGCATATTTCCCTTATTGTTGACGTTACTTAAAGTGAGCTCGTTGGGACGCATAAACCCATAAAATGCCAGGTATATGGCTGTTTTGAGTGTGTTATTGGTGGGATTATCGAAGGGTTTGGTATCTAACATGTCAGACAATGCCCTGAATTTCTCAGCATCGATTGGTAGTCGTGTAGTAGGTTTTGGGTTTTCTAAGCGTTGGATGCCTTTTAGCATGTTTTTAATGGGGTGTGCTGACAGGAAGTTTTTTATGCTGGTATATGTGTTGCTTACGTGATGCTGTACTCCAGTTAAATAGAGTTTTATGGTATTGTGTGCCAGTTTCAAGTTGAGATGGCAAAAAGAGGTGAACGCCACCATATTATATAACCTATAAGGATTCGTGATGAGGTATTCTGCCACAAATTTATTGAATAATATTAAGGCTCGGTTGTACGTGCGTCTAGTGTTTGGTGAAAGTGAGGCCTCTGCTAGTGCTCTCCTGTGTACCATGAGTAATTTTAGTCCAGGATGAGGTCTTTGAACTGCGGAGCCTTGTTTGGCTGTTCCCCTGCTGTTGGGTGTAGCTGTCTGAAAACCTGTAATTTTGAACAGGATAGTGCGTCAGCTGCTGAATTGTGGTGATCTAGCACGTGTATGCAAGTCAGGAAAAAAATTTGTGTGGCTGCCAACCATGTGAGTTTCCTGACCAGGCTCATGATTGTTAGTGAAGAAGACCTGCCTTTGTTCAGAATCTCGCAAGCTGCCATGTTATCGGTGTAGCATTTGACAGCTTTCCCTCCCCATAAGTGGCCCCAGACTTTAGCTGCTGCCACTATGGGGTAGATCTCAAATAGTGCCGACGTCTTTGTGAACGCGGGTAAACCTAATGCTTCACTAGGCCAAGCGTCCCTGAACCATCTGTCTTCGAAAATGGCTGCAAAACCTGCGTAACCTGCCGCATCCGTCCATAACACAGGGGAGTTTAATGTTAATGGTGGTATAAACAAGTTTCTCCCATTCCATTCTGACAGGAAATGGTACCACATAGTCAGATCTGCCCTAGCCTGAATGTCCAGTGTAACCCTGCTGTCGTTGTTGGGTAAGTTGGGTAACAAACTAAGTAGACGTGATATGAAGGCTCGTCCCTGTGGTATAACTCTCATGGCGAAGTTCATTGAACCCAGGAGTGATTGAAGATCCCTCCTCGACGTTAAACCTTTGTCAAGGAACGACTCAACCTCTACCCGGATTCTCTGAACTTTGTCCGCTGGCAGGCTAGCTTTCATGGTAGTTGAGTCTAATTCGATATCTAGGAAGGTTAGTCTGGTGGTGGGGCCCACTGTCTTGTTCTCGGCCACTAGTACCCCTAATGTCTTAAATAATGCGACTGTCTTGTTGATGCTGTGTGGTATTGTGTCAGGTTTCTCTACTGTTAGGAAGTCGTCCAGATAGTGTATAATTACTGGACAACAGCAGATATTTAACAGTAGCCAACACAGTGTCTCTGCAAAAATATCAAACAATTTGGGGCTACTTTTGGCCCCAAACGTCAGCCAGTTGGCAGAGTAGTATAAACCTTTCCACCTTACACCATGCAGATGCCATAGAGAGGGGTGCAAAGGGAGCAGCTTGAAAGCATTTGAAATATCGGTTTTTCCAAGCCAAGCTGCCACCCCTGCTTCCAGTATGGCCTGTATGGCATTATCTACTGTGGCATACTGTAAAGAGAACTCAGCCGATGGTATAAGTGAATTTAGGCTTGGTGTGGTGCTGGAATGAGGGGCTGACAAATCGATGATTAACCGTGCTTTATTGTTGTATTTGCCCCACGCAATTCCTATCGGACTGGTTCTCCAACAAGTGAATGGTGGCCGTGTGAATGGCCCTAACATGAAACCATTCCCTACTTCAGTTTGCAACAGAATGTCTACTGTTGCTGGGTCAGTAGTGGCAGATTGTAAATTCCTGCATTCAATCGTTCCTGATGGTAGTGCTACCAACCCCGTGTGAAACCCCTCCGTGAAACCAGTGATCAGAAATTGTACTAAGTCCCTGGATTGGTGTGAATTGAGGTAAAAGGCCAGCGTGTCGACATTGACTTCCGTCAGTCATTTCTTGGGGAACAGTCGGTTAGGACACATCGTCTTAGCATGGGCTCTATGGCAGATGGTGCAGACATGTAACAACCTACAAGCGCTGAAGCTGCAACCGCCTGCGTTAAAGTTGTTACAAATCTGCGCCTTCCCCAGGAAAACTATTGGCCTACCTAATTTGTCTTTAAATGTCCTTTGGTCGATGCTACTGGTGCTAGGGACTGCGTAGCTGGTAGTTGGAAGACTTGGTTCATTTGGGCACAAATTGGTGGTGTGGGTGTTTGATGAACAAATTGCGCAAGATGGTGGTATAAGGCCGGCAAAATGGCGGCAGAAAAGTTCGGTATCTAAGTGCCTCCAATCGGTTCTTATGTTGAATTGTACCAAAGTTGCCGCTGCTTTTGCCGAAAATGACTTGTGATAATCAAAAAACGTATGGCCACCGTACTTGTGTCCCAGATCCACCAATTTGTGTAAATACAAATCAAGTTCTTCTCTACGATGGGGAAAAGCGGTGCATACTACGTCTCTATATATGCCAAAAGCTAGGACGAACTCTGGTATGGTTAATTTTTTACTTAGTCTGGGGTCTCTCGCTTTCATCACCACTGACAAGTCCCCATAATTATAAGTCTTATTGTCTACTACGTCTTGAGACGCTATCAGTAGGGAAATAAGGTTGACGTCTTTCCCCTCTAAAATATCTTTCCCCTAATGTTAGGAGGTACCAAGTGTGCTGGTGTGACAATGTGAGTGGTAGGATTTTGTGAGATTAGAGCTCCTGTCACATTACCCTGTGCGGCTATGTGTTCAACCTCAGGTGTAAGACTGATATCGGGTGCCACGATAATTGGCTCAGGAGCTTCCAGTCTGTCCATTGTCTGGCTGATATTACTAATAGATGCCAGGATAGATGTCATGGTGGCTTGCAGGCCTGCTATGGTTTCGTTCATATTTCCTTGTGAGCTGGTTCCTGGTTGAGGGGTGTCGTTGGTTGTCATCATAATCCTATATAGCTCGGCTTTCCTAGCCGTGGCCGGATATGGTACACCCCTACGTCTGAGTTCTGCAGCGATTTTAGGAATTGTCCATGACCTCAACGAACAAGGGCTATCTAGGTTTTCGGCTATAGTTGGGCCCGTTGGAGGGGTGGGTGGTCTAGCTGGCTTGCTGGGAGGGGAGACGTCTTCTCCTATGTCGGAGGCGTGAGACATCCTATATGAATGACAAAGGGTTTGATGTGACTTATAAGTAAGTTGTCGTAGATAACGAGGTAGGCGATGTGCTGCTGCTAGCCGTTGGACCGTATAGGGGCTCTAACTATGCGTTGGACATATGACTGTGCCACCGAAGCATTGTGGCGGAAAGGTGGCCTCAATTAACACCTATAACCGTAAACTAGGCATGCTTGGTGAGGCCCTACTTGTATTTGGTTGAGTATTGTGAATCTACCTATGATTTAAACCGAAGGTGAATACCTCTGTGATGAGCAAAATTAGGAAGTATATCGTGGTAAATAGAATATATATATTTTTATTTATTTTTTATTTATTTTTATATACACCACTATTGTGCCAGTGCCTGTGTTGTGTCGTAAGTATGATTCTTAGACTAATACGTACCTGACGATTGGGTCTTTATGTTACGTCTGTAGCTGTATGTGCTAGGTTTGCTTGGCCTAAGATGAGAATAATAAAAGTAAAACACCCGAATAGGTGTACCCCTCCCCTAACCAATAAGATAAAGTATTTATTTATTTATTTTTTTATTACCTGTACCGGGACAGTAAGTGTTTCTTACTATTTAAATTCCTCAGAGATAGGGTGTAGTCTACTTCTGTGGCGAATTTGTTATGACCAGTGTTGGTCTTGATGAACCTTTGACCTACGAGGGTAAGACTTAATAAGATACCCTTATCGGTTTGAACTATGTATGATGTTAGTACTATGTTCTAGCTCCGAGCGGATTGGCGTAATAGTGCCTCCT